ACAATTCAGAGTTTATATCTCACAATTCAGAGTTTATATCTCACAATTCAGAGTTTATATCTCACAATTCAGAGTTTATATCTCACAATTCAGAGTTTATATCTCACAATTCAGAGTTTATATCTCACAATTCAGAGTTTATATCTCACAATTCAGAGTTTATATCTCACAATTCAGAGTTTATATCTCACAATTCAGAGTTTATATCTCACAATTCAGAGTTTATATCTCACAATTCAGAGTTTATATCTCACAATTCAGAGTTTATATCTCACAATTCAGAGTTTATATCTCACAATTCAGAGTTTATATCTCACAATTCAGAGTTTATATCTCACAATTCAGAGTTTATATCTCACAATTCAGAGTTTATATCTCACAATTCAGAGTTTATATCTCACAATTCAGAGTTTATATCTCACAATTCAGAGTTTATATCTCACAATTCAGAGTTTATATCTCACAATTCAGAGTTTATATCTCACAATTCAGAGTTTATATCTCACAATTCAGAGTTTATATCTCACAATTCAGAGTTTATATCTCACAATTCAGAGTTTATATCTCACAATTCAGAGTTTATATCTCACAATTCAGAGTTTATATCTCACAATTCAGAGTTTATATCTCACAATTCAGAGTTTATATCTCACAATTCAGAGTTTATATCTCACAATTCAGAGTTTATATCTCACAATTCAGAGTTTATATCTCACAATTCAGAGTTTATATCTCACAATTCAGAGTTTATATCTCACAATTCAGAGTTTATATCTCACAATTCAGAGTTTATATCTCACAATTCAGAGTTTATATCTCACAATTCAGAGTTTATATCTCACAATTCAGAGTTTATATCTCACAATTCAGAGTTTATATCTCACAATTCAGAGTTTATATCTCACAATTCAGAGTTTATATCTCACAATTCAGAGTTTATATCTCACAATTCAGAGTTTATATCTCACAATTCAGAGTTTATATCTCACAATTCAGAGTTTATATCTCACAATTCAGAGTTTATATCTCACAATTCAGAGTTTATATCTCACAATTCAGAGTTTATATCTCACAATTCAGAGTTTATATCTCACAATTCAGAGTTTATATCTCACAATTCAGAGTTTATATCTCACAATTCAGAGTTTATATCTCACAATTCAGAGTTTATATCTCACAATTCAGAGTTTATATCTCACAATTCAGAGTTTATATCTCACAATTCAGAGTTTATATCTCACAATTCAGAGTTTATATCTCACAATTCAGAGTTTATATCTCACAATTCAGAGTTTATATCTCACAATTCAGAGTTTATATCTCACAATTCAGAGTTTATATCTCACAATTCAGAGTTTATATCTCACAATTCAGAGTTTATATCTCACAATTCAGAGTTTATATCTCACAATTCAGAGTTTATATCTCACAATTCAGAGTTTATATCTCACAATTCAGAGTTTATATCTCACAATTCAGAGTTTATATCTCACAATTCAGAGTTTATATCTCACAATTCAGAGTTTATATCTCACAATTCAGAGTTTATATCTCACAATTCAGAGTTTATATCTCACAATTCAGAGTTTATATCTCACAATTCAGAGTTTATATCTCACAATTCAGAGTTTATATCTCACAATTCAGAGTTTATATCTCACAATTCAGAGTTTATATCTCACAATTCAGAGTTTATATCTCACAATTCAGAGTTTATATCTCACAATTCAGAGTTTATATCTCACAATTCAGAGTTTATATCTCACAATTCAGAGTTTATATCTCACAATTCAGAGTTTATATCTCACAATTCAGAGTTTATATCTCACAATTCAGAGTTTATATCTCACAATTCAGAGTTTATATCTCACAATTCAGAGTTTATATCTCACAATTCAGAGTTTATATCTCACAATTCAGAGTTTATATCTCACAATTCAGAGTTTATATCTCACAATTCAGAGTTTATATCTCACAATTCAGAGTTTATATCTCACAATTCAGAGTTTATATCTCACAATTCAGAGTTTATATCTCACAATTCAGAGTTTATATCTCACAATTCAGAGTTTATATCTCACAATTCAGAGTTTATATCTCACAATTCAGAGTTTATATCTCACAATTCAGAGTTTATATCTCACAATTCAGAGTTTATATCTCACAATTCAGAGTTTATATCTCACAATTCAGAGTTTATATCTCACAATTCAGAGTTTATATCTCACAATTCAGAGTTTATATCTCACAATTCAGAGTTTATATCTCACAATTCAGAGTTTATATCTCACAATTCAGAGTTTATATCTCACAATTCAGAGTTTATATCTCACAATTCAGAGTTTATATCTCACAATTCAGAGTTTATATCTCACAATTCAGAGTTTATATCTCACAATTCAGAGTTTATATCTCACAATTCAGAGTTTATATCTCACAATTCAGAGTTTATATCTCACAATTCAGAGTTTATATCTCACAATTCAGAGTTTATATCTCACAATTCAGAGTTTATATCTCACAATTCAGAGTTTATATCTCACAATTCAGAGTTTATATCTCACAATTCAGAGTTTATATCTCACAATTCAGAGTTTATATCTCACAATTCAGAGTTTATATCTCACAATTCAGAGTTTATATCTCACAATTCAGAGTTTATATCTCACAATTCAGAGTTTATATCTCACAATTCAGAGTTTATATCTCACAATTCAGAGTTTATATCTCACAATTCAGAGTTTATATCTCACAATTCAGAGTTTATATCTCACAATTCAGAGTTTATATCTCACAATTCAGAGTTTATATCTCACAATTCAGAGTTTATATCTCACAATTCAGAGTTTATATCTCACAATTCAGAGTTTATATCTCACAATTCAGAGTTTATATCTCACAATTCAGAGTTTATATCTCACAATTCAGAGTTTATATCTCACAATTCAGAGTTTATATCTCACAATTCAGAGTTTATATCTCACAATTCAGAGTTTATATCTCACAATTCAGAGTTTATATCTCACAATTCAGAGTTTATATCTCACAATTCAGAGTTTATATCTCACAATTCAGAGTTTATATCTCACAATTCAGAGTTTATATCTCACAATTCAGAGTTTATATCTCACAATTCAGAGTTTATATCTCACAATTCAGAGTTTATATCTCACAATTCAGAGTTTATATCTCATGATTCTGAGTTTATATCTCACAGTTCTGAGTTTATATCTGAGAATTCTAAGTTTATATACCACAGTTTTTGTGAGAAACTGTCCAAATTGTGACCTAAAAAAACGTTTTTTTCCTTTTTGGCTGGGCATAAAGGAGCTTCTTTAGTGAGCCTGGACAGGCTAGAGACTGAGAAACAGTTGATCGTATGAAAAAGGAGCAGGTTTATTTATAGCAGTTTACACATTAGGCTGCATGTGATGCGTTTACTCTTATTTGACATGACAAAACACATTGTATAACAATAAAGAATTGCATGATCATGAGAAAACTTAAATTACTGGCACATCAGGGCATCATTTCAGTGTTATTAATATAAACACCTGACTATACACCTTCACTATAGACACAACATCCTTTTAGAGACAAGTCATCTTTATTTGTAAAGCGCTTAATACAATACAGATTGTCAGAGCATATACTGTATATATATATATATATATATATATATTTAGTCATTTACATTATATACAGTGTATATATATATATATATATATATGTACAGTGCATGCATATTTATTATGCAAGTTGATATTAAGAGGACACGACTAGAAATCAGTGGTTAAGTTGTATTTACAACACTGTTCCAGAACAGTTCAACCCAAATATTCAGATGTGTTTCCTGATCCTGGGAGAGTAGACTTCAATGCCGGCTGTTCTGACTCACAGACTGTAAGTAAGTTTTTTTATATTTAAAAATTTGCCACTGACGATTCAAACGCGAGTTTTAAGCAGTGTAGAGTAGCAATTGTTGTTTGTCGATGCAACGCAACGCGTAAAAAGACAGTATAAGTCATTATAATCCGTAACTATGTCCCCACTGGATGCAACAAATGCCTCGTTTATAATGGGTTTTAATGTTTTTGTCTCGTCGCTCTGGCCAGACATGACAGCACAATATGGTAAGGGGCATAACATTTCCGTCACACGCTTGAGGTATTCGGCCAATCACAACGCACTGGATAGCTGGCCAATCAGAGCACACCTCGCTTTTCAGACCGATGAGCTTTGTAAAAATCGATGCGTTTCAGAAAGGCGGGGCATAGAGGAGAAACAATAATGTACAGTATGTGGAAAATAATGTGTTTTTTGAACCTTAAACCGCATAAACACATTTCATTACACCAACTACACAAAATAATGTTATTTTTAGCAACATCATATGACCCCTTTAAAAAAACAGAATATACTGTATAACTGTATATATATATATATATATATATATATATATATTTAGTCATTTACATTATATACAGTGTATATATATATATATATATATATGTACAGTGCATGCATATTTATTATGCAAGTTGATATTCTGATCATATATTTTTCGAGGCACATTTTACCAATTCCATAGTCTTAATAACTACTATTCATTTTGTATTTAATCATTTATAAATGACATATAATTGTTCATGAAGGCTTATATCTGGTGTGCATAATTATTAAGCAGGTTTTCTTTTACAGATAAAATGAGCCAAAAAAGAG